CCAGCAGCCTCTTCTCTCCACATCCTGTCAACACGTGGTTTTGTTATTGTGGTTTTAATTAGCACTTCCTTGATTACAATGAGGTTGAGTCACTTTTCATGTTCACTGATAATTGCTTTATTTGAATATCCTCTTTCTGAAGTGATTTCATGTCTCTTGCCTTGTTTTTCTAATGACGTAACCTTTTCATACTGATTTTTGATTGTTACGTGTACTAGATCAATTCTTGCGGGGCTATGATTGTCTCCCACTTTGTGGCTTGGCTTTTCACCCTTCTGGTAAGGGTGGCTCATGATTAACCGAAGTTCTTCATTTTAGTGTAATAAATAATACAATAGAGTTTGCCAATCTTTTATGCTAAGTGTTTTTTTTTGTGTGTCCTCTTATGAAGTTTTCCCCTGTACCGTGATCATAAACATTTCTACATTGTTCTCTAGTGTTTTATTAATTTTACCTTTGGCATTTGTCACTTGGTACTGATTTATTTGAAAAAATTTTGAAAGATAAGAGACACTTCATCATCTTTAAATGCTCACTGGAAATATCCAGTAGCGTGGAAGGAATTGAAAGTGGAAAGAAATGATAAGAAAAAAACTCCTGAGAGGGTTCGGGGTGGGGGTGGGGGTGGGGCAGATGAGATCCAGAGCAGAACGGAGGGATTTACATTAGACAGAAGGAAAAGACAACTGTTTGTAATACAGTGGAATGAGAAGAGGGTGGTACAGATGCACACAGGTCGTTGGCAACAGGAAGTTTCTAGTTTCCCTGTGAGTATGAGACACATTATCTGCTGAGTAGGGAGAGATCGGGTAGAGTCAGGGCTTGGAGAAAGTTTAAGAAAGTCTTTGAAGAAATTGTAGAGTAAGTTCCAAAAACAGAGTAAATGTGTTGTGCAGTTCTGAGGGTCCAATTGAGATTTGTGGATATTAAGTTATAGTGGTACCAATTGTGTCTCACGGTGTGCTTTTTCTGTAGTAGGACTTGGTAGCTGTGGAATGTACTAGGATAGTGGGTAGTTGGGTTCACCTAGATTGAAGTTTTGCTAGTTTGACATCGTGCAAAGATCCCACCAGAAAAGAATAAGCGAACGTAGATTATTGACAGAAGTTACTGAGCTGATTGAGTGAAGACCGTAAGCTGGGAGGAGAGTAAATGTAAGAGGGACCTGAAGAACTGGGAGAAGGCCTGGTTATTGAAGGTCCTAATGAAGTCAGAGAATGAATCATAATGCAGATAGTGAGCAAACTTGCTGGAAGGTAAGGTTGTGATCTGAGCGTAGAAGGGTTGATTAACGATTTTTGAAGTGTGACAGTTTTGTGCGGTAATAATACTGATACAATACTGATTATGAAACAGGTGCATTATTATTCACTGATGTGAATTAGAAACATACATATAATTCTTTTGTAGTGGGTCGTTTGCCCAGTGTGTTCAGATGTATCAGGATTCAATTCCTGTTTGTGAAGAAACATAAGTTTTCTCCCATTGCTAAATTTATACATGATAGAAATTCTAGATGATTATACTTCACATTTATATTTAATGAATTTTGGTAAAATACTTCATTTTCATTTATCATTTACAGATGGTTTTGTTCCTGATGCTAATATTCCCTTGTTCTCTAGTGAGAGTTTGATTTTTAAAACCTTGCTTGTGCTGATAATTGTAGGTACTGTTTTAAAAAAAATCCCCAAAACTACTAGTTTTGTAATTTCAGCTTCCCATTCACTTTCTTTTAAATGTCTTCCAATACTTCTGTATTTTTAATTGAAAAACAATTGTTACATCAGTAACATTAATTAAGTTTTCTTATAACGTGAATGTTGTTTCTTCAGTAACATTAATGTTGTTTTCTTGATGGACATTGTGTCTTTAACCTGCTCCATTGTTAATTCTAATGCAGATACATCAAGAAATCTGGAATTTCATGAAATACACAGCACAGGGAATGAGCCGCCCTTGCTGATTATGATTGGCTACAGTGATGGAATGCAGGTCTGGAGCATCCCTGTAAGTATGAAGATGGTTAAATCCCTAAAATAAAATACTTCTCAGCATGCTAGCTGGCGATACTTTAAGATCTCATCTACTTATTTCACAAGCAGTTGCTAAGAGACTGGTATGTGCGCACCACTTTTCAAGGCCCAAGGAGTAACGAGCGAGTGGGAAGTCAGAGAAGCTTTAAATGTTTTGTAAAGTGGACCAGGAATTGTGGGAATCATTTTACATAAAGATCTCATTTCTCATTATAGTACCCCTATTAAGTAGATATTATTATTGTATTTTTCTGCATTTTACAGAAGAAGAGTAAACAGGCTTGCAAGAGGCTTTTTACAAAAAAAGTAATGATCATTTAAAAAAAGAATCATTGTTTTGAATCAGTTAAAACTTTCACATGGTACAAAAGTCAGGAGGTATAAACAGGTAAAAAACTCTACCACTCTTGTGCACCGTTTCCTTTGTCTTAAACAACCAGGATTTCTAGTTTCTTATGTATCCTTATAGCTATATTTTATGCAAATAAAAATGCATATACATATATTTCTCCCACCCTGCCCTTCCCTAACAGAAGGGAGCATATTGTACAACTCAGTCTGTACTTTGCTGTTTTTTACTTATAATGTCGATTTTCAGAGAGCTTCTCTATAGAATTTTATAGATGCGAACAATTCCATTATTTGGATTTTCCTTAATTTACATAACTTGTTTCCTGTTTTTGGAAATACTTGAAAGTCTCTCCTGTCTTTTTTTTTTAAATATTAGAAATAATGATATAATACATGAACTTGAACAAAGATTATTTTATATCTGTATATCTGTGTAGGATAAATCCAAATTTTGAAAAATGTTTTAAATTGTCTCATATTGGTCCCTGTTTGCTTCTTAAATACTACATATTCTTTGGGATGACTAGAAATAAAATGTGCTAAAAGAGGAAGAGGCCTGGTAGGGTCACAGCTCAATGAAGCATGGTAGGAACTGCATACTTTGGCTTGTACTTATGTTCCGGTGTCTGGCACGGCCTGAAGGTTGGAGGTGGTAGTGGCTGGCAGAAGTTCTATCGTGTGGCTGTTTTGCAGTTGGAAGCTTGGGGCCAATAGAATTTTAATTTGTACCTTTTTAAATGCAGTGTTGTACAGTGTATCCTTGTAGCTTATTTATTTTATACATAATAGTTTGTACCTCTTCGCCCCATACCCTTGTCTTGCCCCTACCCCCCACCCTCTCCCTGCTGGTAACCACTAGTTTGTTCTCCATATCTGTGAGTCTGTTTCCTTTTTGTTATCTTCACTAGTTTTATTTTTCAGATGCTACATATAAGTGATATCACACAGTATTTGTCTTTCTCTGCGTGACTTATTTCACTTAGCGTGATATCCCCTAAGTCCATACATATTGTTGCAAGAGGCAAAATTTCATTCTTTTTAATGGCTGAGTAATATTTTACTGTATATATCTGTCTGTCTATATGTACCACATCTTCTTTATCCATTCATCTGTTGATGGACACTTAGGTTGCTTCTGTTTCTTTATATTGTAAATAATGCTGCTATGAACATTGGGATTGAATGTATCTCTTAACATTATTGTTTTGTTTTTTGAGGATACATACCCAGAAGTGAAATTGCTGAGTCATGATAGTTCTGTTTTTAGTTTTTTTGAGAAACTACCATACAGTTTTCTACAGTGGCTGCACCAATTTGCATTCCCAACAACTGTTGTATACCTTTGTACAAGAGTTACCTTTTTTCTGCATCCTCACCAACACGTGTTATTTGTGGTCTTTTTGATGATAACCATTCTGAGGTGAGAGGTGATACCTCACTGTGATTTTGATTCGCATTTCCCTGATGATTAGCAAATGACTTTGAGCATCATTTCGTGTGCCTGATGGCCACCTGCATCTCCTCTTTGGAAAAATGTCTATTCAGTTCTTATGCCCACTTTTTAATTGGGTTGTTTTTTTGTTTGTTTGTTTTTTGATGTTGAGTTGTATGAGCTGTTTATATGTTGGATATTAATCCTTTATTGCTCATATCATTTGCAAATATTTTCTCCCATACAGTAGATTGTCTTTTCATTTTGTCATGGTTTCCCCTTTGTGTGAAAAGCTTTTATTTTTTTTTAATTTTTAAATTTTTTAACATTTTTTTGATTTATAATCATTTTACAATGTTGTGTCAAATTCCAGTGTAGAGCACAATTTTTCAGTTATACATGAACATATATATATTCATTGTTACATTTTTTTCTCTGTGAGCTACCATAAGATCTTGTATATATTTCCCTGTGCTATACAGTATAATCTTGTTTATCTATTCTACAATTATGAAATCCCAGTCTATCCCTTTCCACCCCCAGCCCCCTTGGCACCACGAGTTTGTATTCTATGTGTATGAGTCTATTTCTGTTTTGTATTTAGGCTTTGTTTGTTT